ACAGAGCATGGGTTCTGTTTTCAGATTACGTAGAATTTGCTCTGGCTGGAGCTGCTGGAGGTGCTGCTCCTGATCCAGACTGAGTGAGGTCTCCTAGTCAGGAAGTCTAGCGTCCAGTTTCAGAGGGATGTCTACAGGCTCTGACTGGGTCACCTTTTCAATCAGGTGCTAAGGAATGATTGTGTTGAATGCTGTGGTGAACTTTTCACTGAAGACCATTTGAACGCACGTGTCCATTTTGTCCTTGGCCAGATGGAGGGTGGTGGCGATTGGGTTATCTGCTGAGCTCGTGGAACTTGGATACAGATTTTTGTACTGATTATATCCCGTCATTTTATGTTCTATACATTCTGGTTACACACATGCTTTTTTTTTTATTTCTCTAAAAATCATTTTTTCAGCCTTCTTAGTGCAGTAGGTAGCGTGTTAGTCTCATAATCTGAAGGTCATGAGTTCAATCCTCATCACAGGGCATGGGTTTTGTTTTCAGATTAAGTAGGATATGCTCTGGCTGGAGCTGCTGGAGGTGCTGCTCCTGATCCAGACTGAGTGAGGTCTCCTAGTCAGGAAGTCTAGCGTCCAGTTTCAGAGGGATGGCTACAAGCTCTGACTGGTTCGCCTTTTTCAATCAGGTGCTGAGGAATGATTGTGTTGAATGCTGTGGTGAACTTTTCACTGAAGATCATTTGAACACACAAGTCCTTCTTGCTCATGGTCAGTTGGAGTGTGGTGGCGATTGGGTTATCTGTTGAGCTCGTGGAACTTGGATACAGATTTTTGTACTGATTATATCCCGTCATTATATGTTTTATACGTTCTGGTTACAAACATGCTTTTTTTGTTTCTCTTGGAGGTCATGCTTTCAGCCTTGTTAGTGCAGTAGGTAGCGTGAAGTCTCATAATCTGAAGGTGTGAGTTCAATCCTCACACAGGGCATGGGTTTTGTTTTCAGATTTCGTAGAATTTGCTCGGGGCTGAAGGTGCTGCTCCTGATCCAGACTGAGTGAGGTCTCCTAGTCAGAAAGTCTAGCCCGTCCGTCTCAGAGGGATGTCTACAGGCTCTGACTGGTTCGCCTTTTCAATCAGGTGCTAAGGAATGATTGTGTTGAATGCTGTGGTGAACCTTTCACTGAAGACCATTTGAACGACGTGTCCATTTTGTCCTTGGCCAGATGGAGGGTGGGGGGCGATTGGGTTATCTGTTGAGCTCGTGGAACTTGGATACAGATTTTTGTACTGATTATATTCCGTCATTTTATGTTCTATACATTCTGGTTACACACCTTTTTTTTTAAATTTCTCTTAGAGATCATGTTTTCAGCCTTGTTAGCGCAGTAGGTGCGCGTCAATCTCATAATCTGAAGGTCGTGAGTTCAATCCTCACACAGCGCGGGTTCTGTTTTCAGATTACGGAATTTGCTTTGGCTGGAGCTGCTGGAGGTGCTGCTCCTGATCCAGACTGAGTGAGGTCTCCTAGTCAGGAAGTCTAGCGTCCAGTTTCAGAGGGATGTCTACAGGCTCTGACTGGGTCACCTTTTTCAATCAGGTGCTAAGGAATGATTGTGTTGAATGCTGTGGTGAACTTTTCACTGAAGACCATTTGAACGTACGTGTCCATTTTGTCCTTGGCCAGATGGAGGGTGGTGGCGATTGGGTTATCTGCTGAGCTCGTGGAACTTGGATACAGATTTTTGTACTGATTATATCCCGTAATTTTATGTTCTATACATTCTGGTTACACACATGCTTTTTTTTATTTCTCTTAAAAATCATTTTTTTCAGCCTTCTTAGTGCTTCTTAGTAGCGTGTTAGTCTCATAATCTGAAGGTCATGAGTTCAATCCTCACACAGGGCATGGGTTTTGTTTTCAGACTAAGTAGGATATGCTCTGGCTGGAGCTGCTGGAGGTGCTGCTCCTGATCCAGACTGAGTGAGGTCTCCTAGTCAGGAAGTCTAGCGTCCAGTTTCAGAGGGATGTCTACAAGCTCTGACTGGTTCGCCTTTTCAATCAGGTGCTGAGGAATGATTGTGTTGAATGCTGTGGTGAACCTTTCACTGAAGATCATTTGAACACACAAGTCCTTCTTGCTCATGGTCAGTTGGAGTGTGGTGGCGATTGGGTTATCTGTTGAGCTCGTGGAACTTGGACACAGATTTTTGTACTGATTATATCCCGTCATTATATGTTCTATACATTCTGGTTACACACATGCTTTTTTTTTATTTCTCTTAGAGGTCATGTTTTCAGCCTTGTTAGCGCAGTAGGTAGCGTGTCAGTCTCATAATCTGAAGGTTGTGAGTTCAATCCTCACACAGGGCATGGGTTTTGTTTTCAGACTTAGTAGGATATGCTCTGGCTGGAGCTGCTGGAGGTGCTGCTCCTGATCCAGACTGAGTGAGGTCTCCTAGTCAGGAAGTCTAGCGTCCAGTTTCAGAGGGATGTCTACAGGCTCTGACTGGGTGCCCCTTTCAATCAGGTGCTAAGGAATGATTGTGTTGAATGCTGTAGTGAACTTTTCACTGAAGACCATTTGAACGCACGTGTCCATTTTGTCCTTGGCCAGATGGAGGGTGGTGGCGATTGGGTTATCTGTTGAGCTCGTGGAACTTGGATACAGATTTTTGTACTGATTATATCCCATCATTATATGTTTTATACGTTCTGGTTACACACATGCTTTTTTTTTTTCTCTTAGAGGTCATGTTCTCAGCCATGTTAGCGCAGTAGGTAGCGTGTCAGTCTCATAATCTGAAGGTCGTGAGTTCAATCCTCACACAGGGCATGGGTTTTGTTTTCAGATTACGTAGAATTTGCTCTGGCTGGAGCTGCTGATCCCGATCCAGACTGACTGAGGTCTCCTAGTCAGGAAGTCTAGCGTCCAGTTTCAGAGGGATGTCTACAGGCTCTGACTGGGTCACCTTTTCAATCAGGTGCTAAGGAATGATTGTGTTGAATGCTGTGGTGAACTTTTCACTGAAGACCATTTGAACGCACGTGTCCATTTTGTCCTTGGCCAGACGGAGGGTGGTGGCGATTGTGGCTTCTGTTGAGCTCGTGGAACTTGGATACAGATTTTTGTACTGATTATATCCCGTCATTATATGTTCTATACATTCTGGTTACACACATGCTTTTTTTTTCTTTCTCTTAGAGGTCATGCTTTCAGCCTTGTTAGTGCAGTAGGTAGCGTGAAAGTCTCATAATCTGAAGGTCGTGAGCTCAATCCTCACACAGGGCATGGGTTTTGTTTTCAGATTTCGTAGAATTTGCTCGGGCTGGAGGTGCTGCTCCTGATCCAGACTGAGTGAGGTCTCCTAGTCAGGAAGTCTAGCGTCCAGTTTCAGAGGGATGTCTACAGGCTCTGACTGGTTCGCCTTTTCAATCAGGTGCTAAGGAATGATTGTGTTGAATGCTGTGGTGAACTTTTCACTGAAGACCATTTGAACGCACGTGTCCATTTTGTCCTTGGCCAGATGGAGGGTGGTGGCGATTGGGTTATCTGTTGAGCTCGTGGAACTTGGATACAGATTTTTGTACTGATTATATCCCGTCATTTTATGTTCTATACATTCTGGTTACACACATGCTTTTTTTTTAAAATTCTCTTTTAGAGATCATGTTTTCAGCCTTGTTAGCGCAGTAGGTGGCATGTCAGTCTCATAATCTGAAGGTCGTGAGTTCAATCCTCACACAGACCATGGGTTCTGTTTTCAGATTACGTAGAATTTGCTCTGGCTGGAGCTGCTGGAGGTGCTGATCCTGATCCAGACTGAGTGAGGTCTCCTTGTCAGGAAGTCTAGCGTCCATTTTCAGAGGGTTGTCTACAGGCTCTGACTGGGTCACCTTTTCAATCAGGTGCTGAGGAATGATTGTGTTGAATGCTGTGGTGAACTTTTCACTGAAGATCATTTGAACACACAAGTCCTTCTTGCTCATGGCCAGTTGGAGTGTGGTGGCGATTGGGTTATCTGTTGAGCTCCTGGAACATGGATACAGATTTTTGTACTGATTATATCCCGTCATTATATGTTTTATACGTTCTGGTTACACACATGCTTTTGTTTGGTTTCTCTTGGAGGTGGTGTTTTCAGCCTTGTTAGCGCAGTAGGTAGCGCGTCAATCTCATAATCTGAAGGTCGTGAGTTCAATCCTCACACAGGGCATGGGTTTTGTTTTCAGATTACGTAGAATTTGCTCTGGCTGGAGCTGCTGATCCCGATCCAGACTGACTGAGGTCTCCTAGTCAGGAAGTCTAGCGTCCAGTTTCAGAGGGATGTCTACAGGCTCTGACTGGGTCACCTTTTCAATCAGGTGCTAAGGAATGATTGTGTTGAATGCTGTGGTGAACTTTTCACTGAAGACCATTTGAACGCACGTGTCCATTTTGTCCTTGGCCAGATGGAGGGTGGTGGCGATTGTGGCTTCTGTTGAGCTCGTGGAACTTGGATACAGATTTTTGTACTGATTATATTCCGTCATTATATGTTCTATACATTCTGGTTACACACATGCTTTTTTTTCTTTCTCTTAGAGGTCATGCTTTCAGCCTTGTTAGTGCAGTAGGTAGCGGAAAGTCTCATAATCTGAAGGTCGTGAGTTCAATCCTCACACAGGGCATGGGTTTTGTTTTCAGATTTGCTAGAATTTGCTCGGGCTGGAGGTGCTGCTCCTGATCCAGACTGAGTGAGGTCTCCTAGTCCGGAAGTCTAGCGTCCAGTTTCAGAGGGATGTCTACAGGCTCTGACTGGTTCGCTTTTCAATCAGGTGCTAAGGAATGATTGTGTTGAATGCTGTGGTGAACTTTTCACTGAAGACCATTTGAACGCACATGTCCATTTTGTCCTTGGCCAGATGGAGGGTGGTGGCGATTGGGTTATCTGTTGAGCTCGTGGAACTTGGATACAGATTTTTGTACTGATTATATTCCGTCATTTTATGTTCTATACATTCTGGTTACACACATGCTTTTTTTAAATTTCTCTTAGAGATCATGTTTTCAGCCTTGTTAGCGCAGTAGGTAGTGCGTCAATCTCATAATCTGAAGGTCGTGGAGTTTCAATCCTCACACAGAGCATGGGTTCTGTTTTCAGATTACGTAGAATTTGCTCTGGCTGGAGCTGCTGGAGGTGCTGCTCCTGATCCAGACTGAGTGAGGTCTCCTAGTCAGGAAGTCTAGCGTCCAGTTTCAGAGGGATGTCTACAGGCTCTGACTGGGTCACCTTTTCAATCAGGTGCTAAGGAATGATTGTGTTGAATGCTGTGGTGAACTTTTCACTGAAGACCATTTGAACTACGTGTCCATTTTGTCCTTGGCCAGATGGAGGGTGGTGGCGATTGGGTTATCTGCTGAGCTCGTGGAACTTGGATACAGATTTTTGTACTGATTATATCCCGTCATTTTATGTTCTATACATTCTGGTTACACACATGCTTTTTTTATTTCTTGTAAAAAAAATTTTTTCAGCCTTCTTAGTGCAGTAGGTAGCGTGTTAGTCTCATAATCTGAAGGTCATGAGTTCAATCCTCATCACAGGGCATGGGTTTTGTTTTTCAGATTAAGTAGGATATGCTCTGGCTGGAGCTGCTGGAGGTGCTGCTCCTGATCCAGACTGAGTGAGGTCTCCTAGTCAGGAAGTCTAGCGTCCAGTTTCAGAGGGATGTCTACAAGCTCTGACTGGTTCGCCTTTTCAATCAGGTGCTGAGGAATGATGTGTGTTGAATGCTGTGGTGAACTTTTCACTGAAGATCATTTGAACACACAAGTCCTTCTTGCTCATGGTCAGTTGGAGTGTGGTGGCGATTGGGTTATCTGTTGAGCTTGTGGAACTTGGATACAGATTTTTGTACTGATTATATCCCGTCATTATATGTTTTATACGTTCTGGTTACAAACATGCTTTTTTTTTTTTCTCTTGGAGGTCATGCTTTCAGCCTTGTTAGTGCAGTAGGTAGCGTGAAGTCTCATAATCTGAAGGTCGTGAGTTCAATCCTCACACAGGGCATGGGTTTTGTTTTCAGATTTCGTGAATTTGCTCGGGCTGGAGGTGCTGCTCCTGATCCAGACTGAGTGAGGTCTCCCTAGTCAGGAAGTCTAGCTCCAGTCTCAGAGGGATGTCTACAGGCTCTGACTGGTTCGCCTTTTCAATCAGGTGCTAAGGAATGATTGTGTTGAATGCTGTGGTGAACTTTTCACTGAAGACCATTTGAACGCACGTGTCCATTTTGTCCTTGGCCAGATGGAGGGTGGTGGCGATTGGGTTATCTGTTGAGCTCGTGGAACTTGGATACAGATTTTTGTACTGATTATATTCCGTCATTTTATGTTCTATACATTCTGGTTACACACATGCTTTTTTTTTAAATTTCTCTTAGAGATCATGTTTTCAGCCTTGTTAGCGCAGTAGGTAGCGCGTCAATCTCATAATCTGAAGGTCGTGAGTTCAATCCTCACACAGAGCATGGGTTCTGTTTTCAGATTACGTGAATTTGCTTTGGCTGGAGCTGCTGGAGGTGCTGCTCCTGATCCAGACTGAGTGAGGTCTCCTAGTCAGGAAGTCTAGCGTCCAGTTTCAGAGGGATGTCTACAGGCTCTGACTGGGTCACCTTTTCAATCAGGTGCTAAGGAATGATTGTGTTGAATGCTGTGGTGAACTTTTCACTGAAGACCATTTGAACGACGTGTCCATTTTGTCCTTGGGCCAGATGGAGGGTGGTGGCGATTGGGTTATCTGCTGAGCTCGTGGAACTTGGATACAGATTTTTGTACTGATTATATCCCGTCATTTTATGTTCTATACATTCTGGTTACACACATGCTTTTTTTTTATTTCTCTTAAAAATCATTTTTTTCAGCCTTCTTAGTGCAGTAGGTAGCGTGTTAGTCTCATAATCTGAAGGTCATGAGTTCAATCCTCACACAGGGCATGGGTTTTGTTTTCAGACTAAGTAGGATATGCTCTGGCTGGAGCTGCTGGAGGTGCTGCTCCTGATCCAGACTGAGTGAGGTCTCCTAGTCAGGAAGTCTAGCGTCCAGTTTCAGAGGGATGTCTACAAGCTCTGACTGGTTCGCCTTTTCAATCAGGTGCTGAGGAATGATTGTGTTGAATGCTGTGGTGAACCTTTCACTGAAGATCATTTGAACACACAAGTCCTTCTTGCTCATGGTCAGTTGGAGTGTGGTGGCGATTGGGTTATCTGTTGAGCTCGTGGAACTTGGACACAGATTTTTGTACTGATTATATCCCGTCATTATATGTTTTTTACGTTCTGGTTACAAACATGCTTTTTTTTTGTTTCTCTTGGAGGTCATGCTTTCAGCCTTGTTAGTGCAGTAAGTAGCGTGAAAGTCTCATAATCTGAAGGTCGTGAGCTCAATCCTCACACAGGGCATGGGTTTTGTTTTCAGATTTCGTAGAATTTGCTCGGGCTGGAGGTGCTGCTCCTGATCCAGACTGAGTGAGGTCTCCTAGTCAGGAAGTCTAGCGTCCAGTTTCAGAGGGATGTCTACAGGCTCTGACTGGTTCGCCTTTTCAATCAGGTGCTAAGGAATGATTGTGTTGAATGCTGTGGTGAACTTTTCACTGAAGACCATTTGAACGTACGTGTCCATTTTGTCCTTGGCCAGATGGAGGGTGGTGGCGATTGGGTTATCTGTTGAGCTCGTGGAACTTGGATACAGATTTTTGTACTGATTATATCCCGTCATTTTATGTTCTATACATTCTGGTTACACACATGCTTTTTTTTTTAAATTTCTCTTAGAGATCATGTTTTCAGCCTTGTTAGCGCGTAGGTGGCATGTCAATCTCATAATCTGAAGGTCGTGAGTTCAATCCTCACACAGACCATGGGTTCTGTTTTTCAGATTACTTAGAATTTGCTCTGGCTGGAGCTGCTGGAGGTGCTGATCCTGATCCAGACTGAGTGAGGTCTCCTTGTCAGGAAGTCTAGCGCGTCCATTTTCAGAGGGTTGTCTACAGGCTCTGACTGGGTCACCTTTTCAATCAGGTGCGGAGGAATGATTGTGTTGAATGCTGTGGTGAACTTTTCACTGAAGATCATTTGAACACACAAGTCCTTCTTGCTCATGGCCAGTTGGAGTGTGGTGGCGCGATTGGGTTATCTGTTGAGCTCCTGGAACATGGATACAGATTTTTGTACTGATTATATCCCGTCATTATATGTTTTATACGTTCTGGTTACACACATGCTTTTGTTTGGTTTCTCTTGGAGGTGGTGTTTTCAGCCTTGTTAGCGCAGTAGGTAGCGCCGCCAACCTCATAATCTGAAGGTCGGGAGTTCAATCCTCACACAGGGCATGGGTTTTGTTTTCAGATTACGTAGAATTTGCTCTGGCTGGAGCTGCTGATCCCGATCCAGACTGACTGAGGTCTCCTAGTCAGGAAGTCTAGCGTCCAGTTTCAGAGGGATGTCTACAGGCTCTGACTGGGTCACCTTTTCAATCAGGTGCTAAGGAATGATTGTGTTGAATGCTGTGGTGAACTTTTCACTGAAGACCATTTGAAGCACGTGTCCATTTTGTCCTTGGCCAGATGGAGGGTGGTGGCGATTGTGGCTTCTGTTGAGCTCGTGGAACTTGGATAAAGATTTTTGTACTGATTATATTCCGTCATTATATGTTCTATACATTCTGGTTACACACATGCTTTTTTTCTTTCTCTTAGAGGTCATGCTTTCAGCCTTGTTAGTGCGTAGGTAGCGTGAAAGTCTCATAATCTGAAGGTCGTGAGTTCAATCCTCACACAGGGCATGGGTTTTGTTTTCAGATTTCGTAGAATTTGCTCGGGCTGGAGGTGCTGCTCCTGATCCAGACTGAGTGAGGTCTCCTAGTCAGGAAGTCTAGCCTCCAGTTTCAGAGGGATGTCTACAGGCTCTGACTGGTTCGCCTTTTCAATCAGGTGCTAAGGAATGATTGTGTTGAATGCTGTGGTGAACTTTTCACTGAAGACCATTTGAACGCACGTGTCCATTTTGTCCTTGGCCAGATGGAGGGTGGTGGCGATTGGGTTATCTGTTGAGCTCGTGGAACTTGGATACAGATTTTTGTACTGATTATATCCCATCATTATATGTTTTATACGTTCTGGTTACACACATGCTTTTTTTTTTCTCTTAGAGGTCATGTTCTCAGCCATGTTAGTGCAGTAGGTAGCGTGTCAGTCTCATAATCTGAAGGTCGTGAGTTCAATCCTCACACAGAGCATGGGTTCTGTTTTCAGATTACGTAGAATTTGCTCTGGCTGGAGCTGCTGGAGGTGCTGCTCGTGATCCAGACTGAGTGAGGTCTCCTAGTCAGGAAGTCTAGCGTCCAGTTTCAGAGGGATGTCTACAGGCTCTGACTGGGTCACCTTTTCAATCAGGTGCTAAGGAATGATTGTGTTGAATGCTGTGGTGAACTTTTCACTGAAGACCATTTGAACGCACGTGTCCATTTTGTCCTTGGCCAGATGGAGGGTGGTGGCGATTGGGTTATCTGTTGAGCTCCGTGGAACTTGGATACAGATTTTTGTACTGATTATATCCCGTCATTTTATGTTCTATACATTCTGGTTACACACATGCTTTTTTTATTTCTCTTAAAAATCATTTTTTCAGCCTTCTTAGTGCAGTAGATAGCGCGTTAGTCTCATAATCTGAAGGTCATGAGTTCAATCCTCATCACAGGGCATGGGTTTTGTTTTCAGATTAAGTAGGATATGCTCTGGCTGGAGCTGCTGGAGGTGCTGCTCCTGATCCAGACTGAGTGAGGTCTCCTAGTCAGGAAGTCTACGCGTCCAGTTTCAGAGGGATGTCTACAAGCTCTGACTGGTTCGCTTTTTCAATCAGGTGCTGAGGAATGATTGTGTTGAATGCTGTGGTGAACTTTTCACTGAAGATCATTTGAACACACAAGTCCTTCTTGCTCATGGTCAGTTGGAGTGTGGTGGCGATTGGGTTATCTGTTGAGCTCGTGGAACTTGGATACAGATTTTTGTACTGATTATATCCCGTCATTATATGTTTTATACGTTCTGGTTACAAACATGCTTTTTTTTGTTTCTCTTGGAGGTCATGCTTTCAGCCTTGTTAGTGCAGTAGGTAGCGTGAAAGTCTCATAATCTGAAGGTCGTGAGTTCAATCCTCACACAGGGCATGGGTTTTGTTTTCAGATTTCGTAGAATTTGCTCGGGGTTGAAGGTGCTGCTCCTGATCCAGACTGAGTGAGGTCTCCTAGTCAGGAAGTCTAGCGTCCAGTTTCAGAGGGATGTCTACAGGCTCTGACTGGTTCGCCTTTTCAATCAGGTGCTAAGGAATGATTGTGTTGAATGCTGTGGTGAACTTTTCACTGAAGACCATTTGAACGCACGTGTCCATTTTGTCCTTGGCCAGATGGAGGGTGGTGGCGATTGGGTTATCTGTTGAGCTCGTGGAACTTGGATACAGATTTTTGTACTGATTATATTCCGTCATTTTATGTTCTATACATTCTGGTTACACACATGCTTTTTTTTTAATTTCTCTTAGAGATCATGTTTTCAGCCTTGTTAGCGCAGTAGGTAGCGCGTCAATCTCATAATCTGAAGGTCGTGAGTTCAATCCTCACACAGAGCATGGGTTCTGTTTTCAGATTACGTAGAATTTGCTTTGGCTGGAGCTGCTGGAGGTGCTGCTCCTGATCCAGACTGAGTGAGGTCTCCTAGTCAGGAAGTCTAGCGTCCAGTTTCAGAGGGATGTCTACAGGCTCTGACTGGGTCACCTTTTCAATCAGGTGCTAAGGAATGATTGTGTTGAATGCTGTGGTGAACTTTTCACTGAAGACCATTTGAACGCACGTGTCCATTTTGTCCTTGGCCAGATGGAGGGTGGTGGCGATTGGGTTATCTGCTGAGCTCGTGGAACTTGGATACAGATTTTTGTACTGATTATATCCCGTCATTTTATGTTCTATACATTCTGGTTACACACATGCTTTTTTTTTATTTCTCTTAAAAATCATTTTTTTCAGCCTTCTTAGTGCAGTAGGTAGCGTGTTAGTCTCATAATCTGAAGGTCATGAGTTCAATCCTCACACAGGGCATGGGTTTTGTTTTCAGACTAAGTAGGATATGCTATGGCTGGAGCTGCTGGAGGTGCTGCTCCTGATCCAGACTGAGTGAGGTCTCCTAGTCAGGAAGTCTAGCGTCCAGTTTCAGAGGGATGTCTACAAGCTCTGACTGGTTCGCCTTTTCAATCAGGTGCTGAGGAATGATTGTGTTGAATGCTGTGGTGAACCTTTCACTGAAGATCATTTGAACACACAAGTCCTTCTTGCTCATGGTCAGTTGGAGTGTGGTGGCGATTGGGTTATCTGTTGAGCTCGTGGAACTTGGACACAGATTTTTGTACTGATTATATCCCGTCATTATATGTTTTATACGTTCTGGTTACAAACATGCTTTTTTTTTGTTTCTCTTGGAGGTCATGCTTTCAGCCTTGTTAGTGCAGTAAGTAGCGTGAAAGTCTCATAATCTGAAGGTCGTGAGTTCAATCCTCGCACAGGGCATGAGTTTTGTTTTCAGATTTCGTAGAATTTGCTCTGGCTGGAGGTGCTGCTCCTGATCCAGACTGAGTGAGGTCTCCTAGTCAGGAAGTCTAGCGTCCAGTTTCAGAGGGATGTCTACAAGCTCTGACTGGTTCGCCTTTTCAATCAGGTGCTGAGGAATGATTGTGTTGAATGCTGTGGTGAACTTTTCACTGAAGATCATTTGAACACACAAGTCCTTCTTGCTCATGGCCAGTTGGAGTGTGGTGGCGATTGGGTTATCTGTTGAGCTCGTGGAACTTGGATACAGATTTTTGTACTGATTATTTCCCGTCAATATATGTTTTATACGTTCTGGTTACACACATGCTTTTTTTTTTGAAAACAAAACCCAGGGCATGGGTTTTGTTTTCAGATTACGTAGAATTTGCTCTGGCTGGAGCTGCTGATCCCGATCCAGACTGACTGAGGTCTCCTAGTCAGGAAGTCTAGCGTCCAGTTTCAGAGGGATGTCTACAGGCTCTGACTGGGTCACCTTTTCAATCAGGTGCTAAGGAATGATTGTGTTGAGTGCTGTGAATGCTCCTAGTCAGGAAGTCTAGCGTCCAGTTTCAGAGGGATGTCTACAGGCTCTGACTGGGTGCCCCTTTCAATCAGGTGCTAAGGAATGATTGTGTTGAATGCTGTGGTGAACTTTTCACTGAAGACCATTTGAACGCACATGTCCATTTTGTCCTTGGCCAGATGGAGTGTGGTGGCGATTGTGGCTTCTGTTGAGCTCTTGGAACTTGGATACAGATTTTTTTTTCTGATTATATGCCGTCATTATATGTTCTATACATTCTGGTTGAACACATGCTTTTTTTTTATTTCTCTTAGAGATCATGTTTTCAGCCTTGTTAGCGCAGTAGGTAGCGTGTCAGTCTCATAATCTGAAGGTCGTGAGTTCAATCCTCACACAGGGCATGGGTTTTGTTTTCCGATTACGTAGAATTTGCTCTGGCTGGAGGTGCTGGAGGTGCTGCTCCTGAACCAGACTGAGTGAGGTCTCCTAGTCAGGAAGTCTAGCGTCCAGTTTCAGAGGGATGTCTACAAGCTCTGACTGGTTCGCCTTTTCAATCAGGTGCTGAGGAATGATTGTGTTGAATGCTGTGGTGAACTTTTCACTGAAGATCATTTGAACACACAAGTCCTTCTTGCTCATGGCCAGTTGGAGTGTGGTGGCGATTGGGTTATCTGTTGAGCTCGTGGAACTTGGATACAGATTTTTGTACTGATTATTTCCCGACAATATATGTTTTATACGTTCTGGTTACACACATGCTTTTTTTTGAAAACAAAACCCAGGGCATGGGTTTTGTTTTCAGATTACGTAGAATTTGCTCTGGCTGGAGCTGCTGATCCCGATCCAGACTGACTGAGGTCTCCTAGTCAGGAAGTCTAGCGTCCAGTTTCAGAGGGATGTCTACAGGCTCTGACTGGGTCACCTTTTCAATCAGGTGCTGAGGAATGATTGTGTTGAGTGCTGTGAATGCTCCTAGTCAGGAAGTCTAGCGTCCAGTTTCAGAGGGATGTCTACAGGCTCTGACTGGGGGCCCCTTTCAATCAGGTGCTAAGGAATGATTGTGTTGAATGCTGTGGTGAACTTTTCACTGAAGACCATTTGAACGCATATCCCCATTTGTCCTTGGCCAGATGGAGTGTGGTGGCGATTGTGGCTTCTGTTGAGCTCTTGGAACTTGGATACAGATTTTTTTTCTGATTATATCCGTCATTATATGTTCTATACATTCTGGTTGAACACATGCTTTTTTTATTTCTCTTAGAGATCATGTTTTCAGCCTTGTTAGCGCAGTAGGTTCAATCCTCGCACAGGGCATGAGTTTTGTTTTCAGATTTCGTAGAATTTGCTCTGGCTGGAGGTGCTGCTCCTGATCCAGACTGAGTGAGGTCTCCTAGTCAGGAAGTCTAGCGTCCAGTTTCAGAGGGATGTCTACAAGCTCTGACTGGTTCGCCTTTTCAATCAGGTGCTGAGGAATGATTGTGTTGAATGCTGTGGTGAACTTTTCACTGAAGATCATTTGAACACACAAGTCCTTCTTGCTCATGGCCAGTTGGAGTGTGGTGGCGATTGGGTTATCTGTTGAGCTCCTGGAACTTGGATACAGATTTTTGTACTGATTATATCCCGTCATTATATGTTTTATACGTTCTGGTTACACACATGATTTTTCTTTGTTTCTCTTGGAGGTCGTGTTTTTAGCCTTGTTAGCGCAGTAGGTAGCGTGTCAGTCTCATAATCTGAAGGTCGTGAGTTCAATCCTCACACAGGGCATGGGTTTTGTTTTCAGATTAAGTAGGATATGCTCTGGCTGGAGCTGCTGGAGGTGCTGCTCCTGACCGAGACTGAGTGAGGTCTCCTAGTCAGGAAGTCTAGCGTCCAGTTTCAGAGGGATGTCTACAGGCTCTGAATGGGTCACCGTTTCAATCAGGTGCTGAGGAATGATTGTGTTGTATTCTGTGGTGAACTTTTCACTGAAGACCATTTGAACGCACATGTCCTTCTTGCTCATGGCCAGATGGAGGGTGGTGGCGATTGGGTTATCTGTTGAGCTCGTGGAACTTGGATTCAGATTTTTGTACTGATTATATCCCGTCATTATATGGTGTATGCATTCTGGTTACACACATGCTTTTTTGTTTCTCTTGGAGGTGATTATATCCCGTCATTATATGGTGTATGCATTCTGGTTACACACATGCTTTTTTGTTTCTCATGGGTTTTGTTTTCAGATTAAGTAGGATATGCTCTGGCTGGAGCTGCTGGAGGTGCTGCTCCTGACCCAGACTGAGTGAGGTCTCCTAGTCAGGGTGGTGGCGATTGGGTTATCTGTTGAGCTCCTGGAACTTGGATACAGACTTTTGTACTTTTGTACCTTTTCAATCAGGTGCTAGATGGTGGGTGTCTCCTGGAACTTGGATACAGACTTTTGTACTGATTATATCCCGTCATTATATGTTTTATACGTTCTGGTTACACACATGCTTTTTTTTTGTTTCTCTTGGAGATCGTGTTTTCAGCCTTGTTAGCGCAGTAGGTAGTGTGTTAGTCTCATAATCTGAAGGTCGTGAGTTCAATCTTCACACAGGGCATGGGTTTTGTTTTCAGATTAAGTAGGATATGCTCTGGCTGGAGCTGCTGGAGGTGCTGCTCCTGATCCAGACTGAGTGAGGTCTCCTAGTCAGGAAGTCTAGCGTCCAGTTTCAGAGGGATGTCTATAGCCTCTGACTGGGTGACCTTTTCAATCAGGTGCTAAGGAATGATTGTGTTGAATGCTGTGGTGAACCTTTCACTGAAGACAATTTTAATACACAAGTCCATTTTGTCCTTGGCCAGATGGAGGGTGGTGGCGATTGGGTTATCTGTTGAGCTCGTGGAACTTGGATACAGATTTTTGTACGGATTATATCCCGTCATTATATGTTCTATACATTCTGGTGACACACATGCTTTTTTTTATTTCTCTTAAAGATGATGTTTTCAGCCTTGTCATTACATGTTTTATACGTTCTGGTTACACACATGCTTTTTTTTGTTTCTCTTGGAGGTTGTGCTCCTAGCCTTGTTAGCGTAGTAGGTAGCGCGTCAGTCTCATAATCTGAAGGTCGTGAGTTCAATCCTCACACAGGGCATGGGTTTTGTTTTCAGATTAAGTAGGATATGCTCTGGCTGGAGCTGCTGGAGGTGCTGCTCCTGACCCAGACTGAGTGAGGTCTCCTAGTCAGGGTGGTGGCGATTGGGTTATCTGTTGAGCTCCTGGAACTTGGATACAGACTTTTGTACTGATTATATCCGTCATTATATGTTTTATACGTTCTGGTTACACACATGCTTTTGTTTTGTTTCTCTTGGAGGTGCTGTTTTCAGCCTTGTTAGCGCAGTAGGTAGTGCGTCAATCTCATAATCTGAACGTTGTGAGTTAAATCCTCACACAGGGCATGGGTTTTGTTTTCAGATTACGTAGAATTTGCTCTGGCTGGAGGTGCTGCTCCTGATCCAGACTGAGTGAGGTCTCCTAGTCAGGAAGTCTAGCGACCATTTTCAGAGGGTTGTCTACAGGCTCTGAGTGGGTCACCTTTTCAATCAGGTGCTGAGGAATGATTGTGTTGTATTCTTTGGTGAACTTTTCACTGAAGACCATTTGAACGCATTACGTCCTTCTTGCTCATGGCCAGATGGAGGGTGGTGGCGTTGGGTTATCTGTTGAGCTCGTGGAACTTGGATACAGATTTTTGTACTGATTATATCCCGTCATTATATCTTCTATACATTCTGGTTACACACATGCTTTTTTTGTTTCTCTTGGAGGTTGTGTTTTCAGCCTTTTTTGGCGCAGTAGGTAGTCGCGCCGTCTCATAATCTCAAGGTCGTGAGTTCAATCCTCACACAGGGCATGGGTTTTGTTTTCAGATTACGTTGAATTTGCTCTGGCTGGAGGTGCTGATCCCGATCCAGACTGAGTGAGGTCTCCTAGTCAGGAAGTCTAGCGTCTAGTTTCAGAGGGATGTCTACAGGCTCTGACTGGGTCCCCCTTTTCAATCAGGTGCTAAGGAATGATTGTGTTGAATGCTGTGGTGAACTTTTCACTAAAGACCATTTGAACGCATGCGTTCATTTTGTCCTTGGCCAGATGGAGGGTGGTGGCGATTGGGTTATCTGTTGAGCTCGTGGAACTTGGATACAGATTTTTGTACTGATTATATCCCATCATTATATGTTTTATACGTTCTGGTTACACACATGCTTTTTTTTATTTCTCTTAGAGGTCATGTTTTCAGCCTTGCTAGCGAGTAGGCGGTGGCGTCAATCTCATAATCTGAAGGTCGTGAGTTCAATCCTCACACACAGCATGGGTTTTGTTTTCAGATTACGTAGAATTTGCTCTGGCTGGAGCTGCTGATCCCGATCCAGACTGACTGAGGTCTCCTAGTCAGGAAGTCTAGCGTCCAGTTTCAGAGGGATGTCTACAGGCTCTGACTGGGTCACCTTTTCAATCAGGTGCTAAGGAATGATTGTGTTGAATGCTGTGAATGCTCCTAGTCAGGAAGTCTAGCGTCCAGATTCAGAGGGATGTCTACAGGCTCTGACTGGTTCGCCTTTTCAATCAGGTGCTAAGGAATGATTGTGTTGAATGCTTTGGGGAACTTTTCACTAAAGACCAATTGAACTACGTGTCCATTTTGTCCTTGGCCAGATGGAGGGTGGTGGCGATTGGGTTATCTGTTGAGCTCGTGGAACTTGGATACAGATTTTTGTACTGATTATATCCCGTCATTATATCTTCTATACATTCTGGTTATACACATGCTTTTTTTTATTTCTCATAGAGGTCATGTTTTCAGCCTGGTTCGTGCAGTAGGTAGCGCGTCAGTCTCATAATCTGTAGGTCGTGAGTTCAATCCTCACACAGGGCATGGGTTTTGTTTTCAGATTACGTAGAATTTGCTCTGGCTGGAGGTGCTGGAGCTGCTCCTGATCCAGACGGAGTGAGGTCTCCTGGTCAGGAAGTCTAGCGTCCAGTTTCAGAGGGAATGATTGTGTTGTATTCTGTGGTGAACTTTTCACTGAAGACCATTTGAACGCACATGTCCTTCTTGCTCATGGCCAGATGGAGGGTGGTGGCGATTGGGTTATCTGTTGAGCTCGTGGAACTTGGATACAGATTTTTGTACTGATTATATCCCATCATTATACGTTGTATACATTCTGGTTACACACATGCTTTTTTTTGTTTCTCTTGGAGGTTGTGTTTTCAGTCTTTTTAGCGCAGTAGGTAGTGCGTCAGTCTCATAATCTCAAGGTCGTGAGTTCAATCCTCACACAGGGCATGGGTTTTGTTTTCAGATTACGTTGAATTTGCTCTGGCTGGAGGTGCTGATCCCGATCCAGACTGAGTGAGGTCTCCTAGTCAGGAAGTCTAGCGTCCAGTTTCAGAGGGATGTCTACAGGCTCTGACTGGGTGCCCCTTTCAATCTGGTGCTAAGGAATGATTGTGTTGAATGCTGTGGTGAACCTTTCACTGAAGACCATTTGAACACCCAAGTCCATTTTGTCCTTGGCCAGATGGAGGGTGGTGGCGATTGGGTTATCTGTTGAGCTCGTGGAACTTGGATACAGATTTTTGTACTGATTATATCCCATCATTATATGTTTTATACGTTCTGGTAACACACATGCTTTTTTTTTTATTTCTCTTAGAGGTCATGTTTTAAGCCTTGTTAGCGCAGTAGGTAGCGTGTCAGTCTCATAATCTGAAGGTCGTGAGTTCAATCCTCACACAGGGCATGGGTTTTGTTTTCAGATTACGTAGAATTTGCTCTGGCTGGAGGTGCTGATCCCGATCCAGACTGAGTGAGGTCTCCTAGTCAGGAAGTCTAGCGTCTAGTTTCAGAAAGATGTCTACAGGCTCTGACTGGGTCACCTTTTCAATCAGGTGCTAAGGAATGATTGTGTTGAATGCTGTGAATGCTCCTAGTCAGGAAGTCTAGCGTCCAGATTCAGAGGGATGTCTACAGGCTCTGACTGGTTCGCCTTTTCAATCAGGTGCTAAGGAATGATTGTGTTGAATGCTGTGGGGAACTTTTCACTAAAGACCAATTGAACGCACGTGTCCATTTTGTCCTTGGCCAGATGGAGGGTGGTGGCGATTGGGTTATCTGTTGAGCTCGTGGAACTTGGATACAGATTTTTGTACTGATTATATCCCGTCTTTATATCTTCTATACATTCTGGTTATACACATGCTTTTTTTTATTTCTCTTAGAGGTCATGTTTTCAGCCTGGTTCGTGCAGTAGGTAGCGCGTCAGTCTCATAATCTGTAGGTCGTGAGTTCAATCCTCACACAGGGCATGGGTTTTGTTTTCAGATTACGTAGAATTTGCTCTGGCTGGAGGTGCTGGAGCTGCTGCTCCTGATCCAGACTGAGTGAGGTCTCCTAGTCAGGAAGTCTAGCGTCCAGTTTCAGAGGGAATGATTGTGTTGTATTCTGTGGTGAACTTTTCACTGAAGACCATTTGAACGCACATGTCCTTCTTGCTCATGGCCAGATGGAGGGTGGTGGCGATTGGGTTATCTGTTGAGCTCGTGGAACTTGGATACAGATTTTTGTACTGATTATATCCCATCATTATACGTTGTATACATTCTGGTTACACACATGCTTTTTTTTGTTTCTCTTGGAGGTTGTGTTTTCAGTCTTTTTAGCGCAGTAGGTAGTGTGTCAGTCTCATAATCTCAAGGTCGTGAGTTCAATCCTCACACAGGGCATGGGTTTTGTTTTCAGATTACGTTGAATTTGCTCTGGCTGGAGGTGCTGATCCCGATCCAGACTGAGTGAGGTCTCCTAGTCAGGAAGTCTAGCGTCCAGTTTCAGAGGGATGTCTACAGGCTCTGACTGGGTGCCCCTTTCAATCTGGTGCTAAGGAATGATTGTGTTGAATGCTGTGGTGAACCTTTCACTGAAGACCATTTGAACACCCAAGTCCATTTTGTCCTTGGCCAGATGGAGGGTGGTGGCGATTGGGTTATCTGTTGAGCTCGTGGAACGTGGATACAGATTTTTGTACTGATTATATCCCATCATTATATGTTTTATACGTTCTGGTAACACACATGCTTTTTTTTTTATTTCTCTTAGAGGTCATGTTTTAAGCCTTGTTAGCGCAGTAGGTAGCGTGTCAGTCTCATAATCTGAAGGTCGTGAGTTCAATCCTCACACCGGGCATGGGTTTTGTTTTCAGATTACGTAGAATTTCTTCTGGCTGGAGCTGCTGATCCCGATCCAGACTGACTGAGGTCTCCTAGTCAGGAAGTCTAGCGTCCAGTTTCAGAGGGATGTCTACCGGCTCTGAATGGGTCACCTTTTCAATCAGGTGCTGAGGAATGATTGTGTTGTATTCTTTGGTGAACTTTTCACTGAAGACCATTTGAACGCACATGTCCTTCTTGCTCATGGCCAGATGGAGGGTGGTGGCGATTGGGTTAGCTGTTGAGCTCGTGGAACTTGGATACAGATTTTTGTACTGATTATATCCCGTCATTATATCTTCTATACATTCTGGTTACACACATGCTTTTTTTGTTTCTCTTGGAGGTTGTGTTTTCAGCCTTTTTAGCGCAGTAGGTAGTGCGTCAGTCTCATAATCTCAAGGTCGTGAGTTCAATCCTCACACAGGGCATGGGTTTTGTTTTCAGATTACGTTGAATTTGCTCTGGCTGGAGGTGCTGATCCCGATCCAGACTGAGTGAGGTCTCCTAGTCAGGAAGTCTAGCGTCTAGTTTCAGAAAGATGTCTACAGGCTCTGACTGGGTCGCCTTTTCAATCAGGTGCTAAGGAATGATTGTGTTGAATGCTGTGGTGAACTTTTCACTGAAGACCATTTGAACGCACGTGTCCATTTTGTCCTTGGCCAGATGGAGGGTGGTGGCGATTGGGTTACCTGTTGAGCTTGTGGAACTTGGATACAGATTTTTGTACTGATTATATCCCGTCATTATATGTTTTATACATTCTGGTTACACACATGCTTTTTTTTTTTGAAAACAAAACCCAGGGCATGGGTTTTGTTTTCAGATTACGTAGAATTTGCTCTGGCTGGAGCTGCTGATCCCGATCCAGACTGACTGAGGTCTCCTAGTCAGGAAGTCTAGCGTCCAGTTTCAGAGGGATGTCTACAGGCTCTGACTGGGTCACCTTTTCAATCAGGTGCTAAGGAATGATTGTGTTGAATGCTGTGGTGAACTTTTCACTGAAGACCATTTGAACACACAAGTCCATTTTGTCCTTGGCCAGATGGAGGGTGGTGGCAATTGTGGCTTCTGTTGAGCTCGTGGAACATGGATACAGATTTTTGTACAGATTATATCCCGTCATTATATGTTCTATACATTCTGGTTACACACATGCTTTTTTTTATTTCTCTTAAAGATCATGTTTTCAGCCTTGTTAGCGCAGTAGGTATCGTGTCAGTCTCATAATCTGAAGGTTGTGAGTTAAATCCTCACACAGCGCATGGGTTTTGTTTTCAGATTACGTAGAATTTGCTCTGGCTGGAGGTGCTGCTCCTGATCCAGACTTACTGAGGTCTCCTAGTCAGGATGTCTAGCGTCCAGTTTCAGAGGGCTGTCTACAGGCTCTGAGTGGGTCACCTTTTCAATCAGGTGCTGAGGAATGATTGTGTTGTATTCTTTGGTGAACTTTTCACTGAAGACCATTTGAACGCACATGTCCTTCTTGCTCATGGCCAGATGGAGGGTGGTGGCGATTGGGTTATCTGTTGAGCTCGTGGAACTTGGATACAGATTTTTGTACTGATTATATCCCGTCATTATATCTTCTATACATTCTGGTTACACACATGCTTTTTTTGTTTCTCTTGGAGGTTGTGTTTTCAG